TACAAGTTTATCTTGGAGGTTTTTCAGACAGAAGGGACATGAGCAGAATTTCCAGATTCCTCCTTGTCACTTAGAAGTGTGGTCCCAACTAGAACATCAGCACTGCCGGGAAACTGCTAGAAACACAGATCTCAGGCCCCACCCAGGGCTCCTGTGAAGATACATTTGAATCAGATCCCCAGGGAGATGCATGGAGCGGTGGGTAGTTCAGGAGGTGTTGTCCTTGTGCGTGAGCTATTTCTGATCTAATGTCCCTCAGATCCTCATTAGCTAATAATGTCCTGATAAGTTTCCCGGCATGCTGACAAAGACAATCATGTTGGTGGAATCCTTTGTGATCAGAATTCATCTCTTTTGTCTTTTCTCCTCGATTGATATTGGGCTTCCAGGTCTTACAGTCTTTCTTCAAGAAGAGCCACGTTTCTTGAATGCTGGGTTGTGAAGCTGCCTGCAGCCTCTGCAGCGCTGGTTCGATCCCCGGCCACTGGGTGAGGGTACCACATGGCGCGCAGACCTCTCCTGTCGCTGCTCCCCTCAGCAGTGTACTTGGTCAAGTCTGCCTGTTCTTTTCCCCGCTTTGGTGAATTCTCTCACCCTCCCACGCTTCTGACTGTACCCAGTGCTTGTATAAATAAATAAATCTTAAAAAAAAAAAAGCCACGTTTCTTGTATTTGTTCTGTAGATTTATGCTTTTATGTTTTGTAGATTTCTGCAGGAATCCATCTGCACAGGTTTCCAAGTTGGAAAAAAAGTTCCAAAGTTGAGTTTATGGTTTTTTTTCTCCCTCCCTTTCTTTTTAGCAAATCCAGGTTGAACACACCCTGGGCATGCTGCATGTTGGAGGCTGTGTAGGAAATGTCTTCCTTGTTTACAAAGGGTGTACCGTCTAGATGTGAACTCAAGCCAAATACACTTCAAACATAGTTAAACCTCTAAGTAGTATGGTATATTCTGTGCACTGTGGTATATTCTGAGAATACATATCCAGGGCCCCGATGGAATCTAGCAGCAAGGTTGAAGTGTCTCTCATCAAACAAAGCATCAGAAAACAATGCCGTAAAGCATAAAAACTGCCTGTCTCTTTGCTGAGAGTGTGTTGAGTTTGGGGGGCATCTCAGTAGCACGTCTTCTATTCCTCCCCACTAAAAGTAAAAATGAAGGAAGGGGGTTTCTGAACAACAGCAAAGCATGTAGGCTGGAAGCTCAGTGATAAAACGCGGAGTAGCTGGAAAGGAACAGTGAGTAGCCCCGAAGGACACGGCATGTTTAAAAACAGCTCAAGCACAGGTGCTCCCAATATTAGTTCTGAGTCGTCAGAAAAAGATCTGTATCTGTACACTTGTGCATCTTTTGCTTAAGACAAAGTCTGTGGTCCACATGGAAAGGTTCCGCCAGAGCAAATTAAAATAGGCATGTTGTTACTTAGAAGAGTAACTGGTAACTTAAAAGTTTAACTTTACAAAAATCTATCCTCTTCCCCAATTTGTTGCAGGAAGCTAGAGTCTTGTTGGGATTGGGATTGTTCCGGTCAAAGCTTCTGGGTTGGAGAGTCAGGATCTACCTAAGGTAGTTGCGGGTGGGGGGGCTTGACCAGACAGAAGCTGGTGCCTGCAGCACTCACCCTGTTGCAAGAATTTCCTTCATTGCCTTGAGCTGAGCTGGCCTTGTCTGTGCTTCTCTCTGGGGAGGACCTCGGTCTGCAAAGGGATTTGAGTATTTCTGTACCTGGGGGCCCTTTCTTGGAAGCATTCTGCGTACAGGTTGTTGATTCTTAAGTCTTTAAATTGTTAGCACTTGTAAAGTTGTATCTTAACAAGACATGCAGGCATCTTCTGCCACTGTCTTGTGAGCGAGGGGCAAAAAGTGTGAAGCAGAGCAGTGAGGAGAACTGGACGGGTTCTCTGCTAGTGGGCACTGCAGGGGCCGTTGGTCTGTCTCTCTCTCTCTCTCTCTCACCTTTGTTCCTGGTCTTTTTCTTCCTCCCCACCGCCCCACTGGCTTTTTTACACAAGACATAATCACTGTAGAAAAATAGGAACCTATAAGAAATTTAAAATGATAAAATAACAGTCAATGTACCGTATGCCCCTTTTCAGGCATGTAGGTTGTTTCTTGCTTCTGACTTTGCAAATGAATACATTGAACATCTCTGATGCGCCTCCTAATTCCTTGGGGGTACCTTCCTTAGAAACGGAATTGCTGGGTCTGAGGGATGCACTCTTAGTTATACACATTGCCCAGTTGTTCCCCCAATCTACCTGTGTGTCACAGATGGGGGTGATATGAGTTTTCATTATATGCAAATTCAAAATGAGATCTGAGGGCCAGAGTTTTCTGTGCTTCTGGTGGAGTTGTGACTGCCTCCATTCCCATGCAGACAGCCTGGAGGGCTTTCACCCTGAGCCGATGAGACCATGCCCTGCTTATTGATTTCAGTCGTGGGCACTTCACTGAGATTGGCCACCTGAGTCTGGGCAGAAGACAGTGACCAAGACAGGAGGCTGAGGCTTGTGAGGAATCACCCGCACACCAGAGTCGTTGCTCGTGAGGGTCTGAAACAGATGGGATTAACCTGCGCAGTTGAGGGGCTGTCGTCTCAAGAGAAATTGGATTCCCTCCGGGAGGTTCGAAGTGCAAAATAAGCAGCCGAGGTTGGATGGACCTAGGCAGGCAAGATTGAGTTTAATGTGCAAGAGCCCTGTCTGGCAGAATGGTCTGAAAATGGATTGGGCCCCCCTGTTCCCTCTGCATCCCTGGAGAGACTCTGCAGGGCCCACCGCTGTCTTTGGACAGAGACACATGGCCTGTGTGTAAAGGGAATTTGTCTTAAGGGCCTGATGTGGAGGGCTTGGAGTAAGCGTCGTGACTACAAGGCCGTGAACTTGGTTTCTTGGCTCTGCTTTCAGCCGTCTGTGGTGGAGCCCTTCCTTGCCTTCTGGAACCTTCTCATCTCACCTTTGCTACACTCAGCTCATTAGCAAATAAGAGTGACGATGTTTGACATTCCGTTCAGTCATAGCAGCAAAGTGGGGAGTTGGTTTTTCTCAGTTGTTTACATTTTCCTTGTGTTTTACTGTTTCCCAACCACATGTCTCAGGCTTGAGACTCCCCCATCGGGTAACATGTCAGGGGTCATTCATTTCTGGTCATTCATTTCTGGGGAGCCATTGCATCTCTCTTTGTAAAGAATCCGAGTACTGCTTTCATTGTCTTGTAAGCTACATCACCCCAGCGCTGTTTCTGAATCCTGCCTGTGGTTCACAGCATCCTCATTGTGCCTTTAACATTTTGGGGGCCTCATGCATTTTCCTTAGTTTGCTGTGGGTACTTGGAGAGGGTAACAAAATGACCAGGTCATCCACCAAGTCCACTAGACAATGTGGCAAATTGCCCAGCTGATTTTAATGTTGCCGACACGCAACTGATTAAGTCCCTGGAAGTGTGTGGTCCCGGAAACAGCTAGAAGGTGGCACTGGGGGGCCGGGTGGAAATGTAGAGCCTCTTGCTCGACTCTGAAGTCGCCCTGTCGGAATCTGCATTTGAATTAACCGACTTTTCGGCAATGCCCTTGGACTTCCCAGGTGACTTGCTGCCGAACCTGTGGGTAGTTATCTCACCTTGGGGTTTTTTGGGGAGGCAGGGCAGGAGGGCGGTTTGGAGTACCTGTTAACGTGCCTGGCACTGGGACAAGGTGCTTATGCATGGTAAGCTCATTTAATCCTCAGATTCACCCTCTAAAGGGAGGATTATTTGAGGCTCAGAAAAGTTGTCACCGGACCTGCCAATGTGTCACTAAACAACAGATTCTGGAGGCTCTCCTGTAAGCCTAAAACAGTGAAGTTGAGGCCCAAGATGGCCTGCCTGAGCCTGGAAGCCTCCAGTCTCTGTGGCTTCTCCTGGGCACACCCTGGGCTTCCTGCCCAGCCAGGTGCCCTGTGGGAGGATGGGAGAGGCGGCCTGTCCCCAGCTGCTGGCCCGTCACAGTCCAGCTGTGGCTTGGTGTGAAGGGCTCCGCAGGAAGTCACCTCCTAAACCTGGACCTCACCTGCAGTCTCACCTCCTGAAGGAAGCATCTCCTAGAGAAAAGTTCAGGGCCCAGATGGACACATCGCTCAGGTGGTGCTTATAGCAAAATAGGCTGGAGTGAGAGAGAGAGAGCACGCGCGAGTGTGTGTGTGTGTGTCTCTGTGTGTCTGTGTGGTTCTTTTGGATTAAGTCATTTGAAAGGCTAACTTATTTATTGGAAACTAGTTCTGAACTTCCATTTTTGGAGCTTTTAGAATATACTCTCTCCTTGGGTTCTTGGTTGGAGAAATAAAATCAATGCTAAGAAATGACCTTCAAACATTAATGCTCAGTTTTCCTGTCTACATTCCTGTTGTCTTCTTGGATATTCAGGAATAAGTCTGTGCTTGTCACACCCGGTGCTCCGCTGAAAATAACGACTTACTGCCCTGCTAGTGAAGTCACAGCTTAGAAGTGGCAGGAATCCAAATTTGCCCAAAATGTGAGGTGCCGGGAACAATCCTCGGCAAAAAAGACAGAGATAAACAAGTTCTTTTCTTTATACGTGCCACTAGGCAAAATTAATCCTGATAGCTAAAGTAAAATTAAGGTAACAATTAGGAAAATTGATGTATTTTGCAATTGTTTACCTCCCTACTTAGCATTTGGGCTGCATCTTCCAGAGGCATCTGAGGAGGGAACTTTCTAAAGTTGACCATCCCTTCCTTCTCACAAGATCTTCCCCCACAGTCTTTTAAAAATCAGAGCCAAATTTCAACTCCCCGCCTACTGCCATTTGGTGGTATTTTTGTTTCTCTTTAGGTATCATCCGATTTTCTTTTCCTTTCCCACTGACATCGGCTTATTTCATATGAATGCGTAATATATTAAATACATATGCATTTAAAATATTGGTTTGATTTTGTTTGTGAATTGTTTCTCTTCAAGGGCCTGTCTGGGGAAATGAGTAATTTTTCATATCCTGTTCTTGCAGGAAGAATTTTAAATCGTTTCTCCAAAGACATCGGGCATATGGATGACTTGCTGCCCCTGACATTTCTAGATTTCCTCCAGGTAACGTAAGAGTAACATCAAGTGTTCAGGTGCATGGCTCAGGTAACCCTGTGCTCAAGGCCCTTTCGTGGGGGCTCGGGGTGGGCCCCCCAGCCTGGCAATGTGTCATGTTATCTTAGTGCAAGGCCATGTTTGTAAAAGGAAGGTGTGGCTGTGATTCGGAGGCTAAGTTAACATGAGTAACACCCGTGTGTGGGAGTATCCACACCGTCATGTCAACGTTGGTTCAAAGCAGCTACATGCTTGGTAAGTGCTTCTCCACCTGCCTTCCAGGTATCTGGCGTGGATTTCACTTCACTGTGAACACATTTCATAATATAGAAACAATCACCTCTCACGGAAAGATAGCCTAGATTAACTAAATTATGCATTGTATTACCACAAAGGACAAATATTTACGGCACCGTTTTTTGGATAAAACCAGGTGTGGTTACTTACAAAGAAAAGATTAGGAATAATAAGGTGAAAATAATACTTTTGTTAACAAGGACAATAGAGCGCAGTTATTACAGATACAAAGCCTTTAAAGGCAAGTATGTTTAAGCCAATAATTTGATTCCAGGATCAAAGTCATCTCAGAAAACGTCTTTATTTTATTTTTTTAGTTTTCCTAGGCAGCTTTTTTCTTTTCACATGTTAATTGCTCTAAGTCTTATTGTGTCTTTAAAAAACATTTTTCAAAACCAAACCAACAACCCCACAGAAACACTTTCTCATAAAGCATTTGTTTTGTCTGTGAACCTGAGGTTCCAAAGAGTAATGTGGGGTCACTCATCTCTCATCGCCTCCTTCCCCATCATTGCTCATGTGCTGTTTGTTTTGCCATTTAATTCTGTCTCCTTTTCAGTGATTCAGGCAGCAAACGTCCGCCTTCATTTCCAAGTGTTTATTTTGGAAATGACGTGCAGTCATCAAAAACCGCGCATCCCCTGAAATCCCTGCTGCTATTGTCCATATCGAACCTGCCCCCCCCCCCCTTTTCCTGGCTGCCAGTTTACAGTCACTAACCAGAAACTCATTTTTTAAGTCCAGGGAGTAGAATGGCTACAGTTGGGGTCCCCTGATAATGGCTTCATCCTGATGGCTACACCCCTCTCTCCTCTACTCCCCCAAACCTCAGCCTTTTTTGCCCCAGTGCTCAGAGGCACTTCAAGTCAAAACTTGGATTCTCTTTTGGAGCGAATGTTCTAAATGAAGCCAACTACCAAATTTGGAAAATGAGCTCTATCTGAACAGTCACAGGCCGGTGGTGACTGCGGGTTTGCCTTAGGCACACAGGGTGCAGCTGAGAGTAACTGAGGGCCAGCAGGGGAGCCGGTGGGCACAGTCCTTCACTGTCCCTCCCCTTGAGGTGAGCTGGGACCACAGAACTTGCAGAATGAACAAGCATGTCTGATGTGGGTTTGTTTTTTTTTTTTTCTTCCTTATTTTAATAATGTGTCTTGCAGGGTTGAGCTGTGTAACGTGGCAGCCATTCACTGAAAGAGCCTCACGTTTTCACAGTGTTTGTTAATTGCTCAGGGGAGATATTGTTAAAGGCTCTGTCTGGGCGGAGGTTGGATGGCCACAGCTGCTGACCCTCCATGCGCTTAGTCCCTGGTCAGCCTCATCAGTAGCTGGGCACAGCCCATGAGGTCAAGTACCAGACCTCGGCCGCCTGACGGGGGACAATTCCAGCCTCATTTGCTTTCTTGCACCCCAGGGACAAGGGGTCTTTTATGATCTGCACCCTCCATCTTGGTGAGACTGGGCATGGCCAAATACCGGCAGCCCCCAGTCGCTGATTTCTTGGCTCTAAACAGCAAAGGTAAATCTCCCTGTGATTGTCTCCAAGAAAGGCCTTTTGGGTAAAGGGTAACTCAGTTATCAATTATGATAAAGATCCATTGTCACTGGTTTTGTTCGCAGGTGCCTTTAATAAGGCTCCCCATAATCCCTTCAGGAAGAAATATTTTCTCCTTTTAAAGATAGTATTAGCTAAATATAAAAGCCCTGATCCCTGCCATTGTTGTTGGTTCTTTGAGGGACATTTCCCAACATTCATTGTTTAAATGGTTGTCAGGAGGAATCAAGTGAAACTTCATGGACAATGCAGTAACTGGTTCATCTTACTTTGTGTGCTCAATCCTTTCTCCGGAGGATTTGCATGCGATGAGTGGGCCTTTGACAGAGGTATCACCGGGATCATTTTGAAGTATTTGGGCCTGTGGCTCTACTAGCGAGGGAGGATTTTTCACTAAAGCCACAACAAAATGAATTTAACCTGCTCTCAAATAAAAGCTGACAAAAAACCAAAATGTAAATTGATTTCCCCCCACCCCTGTTTAAAGTTGGATAGGACTCTGCAGGGATGAAAACAACCCCAGTGGTGTTCTGAGACTCTTCATGGAATCATGTAAACTTAAAATAAACACTATTATGGTAAGCACATAGAATGAAAACTAATTTTCCAAATCAAATACATTATATTCAATTCATTTTCCCCAATCAACCAAATGTTTAAAACCTGTTAGTTATAACAGCAATCTCCTGGAAATTAATTAGAAGCCTATTAGCTCTGCTAGCTGAGCCGAATGAAGTGTGGTGCTCCTTACATCTCTAAATAGGCTCCCGAATTAAAGCAAAGCAAGGTCAAAGTGACAGTCAGCTTGACTGTCACCTCTGGCTTTGCTGAAGCAGTCCATCCAGTTTTTGTTGTTATTCCTGGAGGGGGTTGGGGGTTCGTTTTTTGAAGGCAATTTTATCTGCTTTGACTCCACCCTTCTAATATTTAAAAAGCTGAGTACTGGTCAGGGAAGACGTGTGGGAGGCATGAATATTATCTGTGCGGACAATAGTGTCCCCTCCATCATGCTGAACATGGAAATGACTTTCAGCTGTCTGGTCTAGCTTCCCGGCTCTTCTAAAGACTCCTCTTAGACCCTTTCAGAATTGAGATGGTAGGAGATTTCCTTTCTCTCTCCTAATGACATTGGGAAAATTTGCAGCTGATCTTCTGAGGTCTCAGAGGCCCTAGATTTCAATGTCCCTCATCCAGTTGTTTTGTTTGGGTAAGAACCCCATCACTGGCTTTCTGTCCTGCACCCAGAGAAGCTTGCAGAATTCGAGTCCTCAACCCCCAGCTGAGTCTGACTCAACTGTTGAGTTTATTTTTTTTTAAAGAGTTGTGCATAAAAGAACTAGGGTTCTGGGCCTCCCCAGAGGCCCAGCGGTTGAGTTATGGGTTGCGAAGCTGCCCGCAGCCTCTGCAGCGCCGGCTCGATCCCCGGCTGCTCCCCAGCCACCGGAGGAGGGTCCCCCATGGCGCGCAGACCTCCCCTGCCGCCCGCTGCTCCCCTCAGCAGTGTACTTCGGTCCTTCTGCCTGCTCTGCTCCCCGCTCTGGCTCTGGTGAATTCTCTCACCCTCCCACGCTTCTGACTGTACCCAGTGCTTGTATAAATAAATAAATAAATAAATAAATGAATGAATGAATGAATAAAATTTTTTTTTTTTTTTTTTTAAAAAGAACTGGGGTTCTTGGTGGGGTCGGGGCGGTGGTAGTGAGAGGATTCACCATAGAGTGGGGAGCAGAACAGGCAGATCTACTGAAATACACTGCTGAGGGGAGCAGCAGTCACCATGTGGGTTAGCTCCCTAGCCTGGGATTGAACTCAGCCTGAAGGGGTGATAGTGCTGAGACTTAACCCCTACACTGCCAGGGAGGCTGTCAACTGTTGAGTTTAAAAAGGACTAGGAGCGCTTGCTTCAACAGCACTTAGGAGCACTTAGAAGTGGGAGGACATAGAAGGGGTTAACATGGCCCCTTCGCAAATTCATGAAACCATCCCCGTTTATCAAGTATGTTTCCTCCCCGTTGGAATACATTAATATATATATATATTTTTGGGGGAAAAAATGATCGGGAATTTCCGAAGGTACCCTGGATACTGATCTATATATCATCAAGTGTTCTGGAGCCAGAAAGATCTTGGCAAAATGGTTAGCAACAAATGAAATGCAAACTGAAATCCAATGCAGAGATGATACCTTTATGAATAAGGAATTAAATTTTCCACCCATAAGAATATCCAAACTAAGACTGTCACGCTGCTTGTTTTGTTTTGTTTTGTTTTGTTTCTTCATAAAGACCAGCGTACTATCATACTTTCCTAGAGAATTAAAGTGGAACAGAGAGAAATTGCTTAATTACATGTATCCACGGGCACTTTGGAATCCAGAGCATCGTGCTCAACCACTTTCACCGTAAGACAGTGAGAGTTTTGTTGGTTTCATAAGGAAGACTTACACGTGTCCGGTGGGAGGTGATGGTTTTCCAGCTGAGCCTGAAGCTGAGGAGATGAGAAAAGGCCTGGGAGGGGCGCCCTTGGCTTGTGCCTCGGCGGCGAGGACTCTGGAGAAGTGAGCCTGGAAATCGGGGAGACTTATCACTCCACTGCCGTGATGGAGCTGAAAAAAATGGTGTTTAAAATGTGTGCAAATTGGCCTGCTAGCAGTTCCTTGCCCCACTCTGTCCCTTAGACTTCAACAAAAGATTGAGATTTGTGGGAAGGGTTGTGGGGGTTTGTTGGCTTGTTTGGGGAAGTTAACTTTTCAGGTCTGTGTTAATGGGAGCCAGAGAAACGGCTCAGTCTGGCAGTCCCAGCCATGCACCGTGGGGAACGGGGATGATTGAGGGGGGCTGGTCATTTTCATGTGTGGGGTCTGGGAACCTGAGGGCACAGGTTTCTGTGCTGTTGATCCTGATGGAGCAATAGCTAGGAAGGGAGACTGGCTCTTGACCAGTGAGGCGTTTGGGAAGGGTACACCAGACGTCGGGAGAGTTTTGGAATTTGTCGTAGGAAATAAATAATTTATACAATACAAAATAACAACAGCCTGCCGGTTAGCTCAGCTTGCCCTGGGCTTATCAGATAAGTTAGCCAGTGGCTGGCAGTGCACATCTGTTATCAAAGTGGTGTTCAAACACGCCTTGTTTGTTTGCGTTTTCAAATATCCTAA